CTTCCTTCCTTCCTCTTCTTTCTTCCTCCTCCTTCTCTTCCTTCTCCCTCCTTCTTCCTCCTTTTTCCTTCCTCCTCCTCCTCCACCTCCCCCCTAGTACTGGGTATCAAGCTTGGCCTTGTACTTGCCAGGCAGGTGTTTATGCCACTGAGTCATACCCCTGGCCTTGAGACAAGGTCTTGCTATGCTGTCTAGGCTGATCTTGAACTCCTGGGCTCAAGCTACCCTTCTGCCTCAGCCTCTCAAGTACCTGGGATTATAAGTGCACACCACCATGACTAGCTAAATTATCCTATAAAAGCTGTAAAGCTTTTATATGATAATATAACAGTGATTATATGATAATATAACTATGACAATGCTGAGCAACCCACACTGCTTGATACCTCGTAATCCGTTTTAAGATCCAAAACAATAACCTGGTACCTAGCAAGTTCTCGTGCTTCCCCCTCTTCTGCCAGCCCCTGGCCATCACTAATTTGCTTCCTGTCTTTTTAGTTTTTTTCTATTCTGAGTATCTCTCATAAAGGGAATTATGCAGTGTGGGATCTCTGTGCCTGGAGTCTTGCTGAGTTTTTAGCATCCTGCTTGCCAGGCTCCTTCCCATCGTCTCAGGAGTCCACTCCTCTTCACAGCCGAGTTATGTGCTACACTGTAGATCTACCATTCTGTTTCCCCGCTGATCTGTTGAAGGGCATTTGGGTGGTTTCTGTATTTGGCTCTTGGGAACAGGGCTGCTAGAAAGACCATTTACATCTGAGCATCAGTCGAACAGTTGTTTTCAGTTCTTCTGGGTATGTACCTCGAGGGGAATTGCTGGGAATGGATATGCGGTGGTAATTCTGTATGTAACTTTTCAAGGGACCTCCAAGCTATTTACACATGATGACACTTTCATTTTTCTTCTTTGTCCTCACAGATCTTCCTTGACTTGTCCCCACTGCCTGAAACAGAGCAACACCTTTGATCCCTTCCTGTGCGTGTCCCTTCCCATCCCCTTGCGCCAGACGAGGTACGTGAGAGCGGCTGCTTGCCCAGGGCCCTTGGTCTCCTCTTGCTGGTTGCCAACAGGGTCCATCTGACCTTGAACCTGTCCCTTTTCTGTTTTGCTTTTCACTGAGCCTTTCTTTCTCTAGAAACCAGCCGCATTGCCAGGTGACATTCGGTGATTGAATGTGACAGAGTAAAAGGGAGCTGCAGCCCTTCTTCAGCAGGGAAAATGAGCCCTGAGGCCACAGAACTGGGTCTGACCCTGGGCTGTGTAGCATGCTGCTGCTGGTGTCGCTCTTCAGTCCTCTGGGGGCTGGAGAAGGCCCCTTGGCTAGGCAGGGACAAACCAGAGCCAATTGCTCACCACCTCCTTTTCTTGCTTTATTTCAAAATTCTTTTTCTTCTTGGTGAAGATGTGGGAAAATGATTTCTTGAAGGAACAAAGAAAGGGGACAGGATTGTTTTGGGAGAGGAGAGAAAGAGGCAAGATTGGATATCTACATGGTATGCTCTGCCGGGCAAAAGTCAGAAGTGGGTCCTGCCGCCGCAGCCTAGCAGAAGCCAAGGCACAGCAGTGCTGTGGAGGCGGCTGGCCAGGGTCACAGCTCGAGTGCCAGGGAGCTCCTATGTGGGAGCTGTCCCTGCATTGTGATGGCCGTGGTGACCTCCGTGTCCTTAAGTGCCCTGTCTCCTGCCCTCCACTTGTCCACTGTCTCTGTCTTCAGGATGCATCAGACCTGATGTCTTTATAAAGCCCTTCCTGACGGCTAACATCTCTCCCTCTTTTTTTTTTTTTCTTTTGTGCTAGAGATTAAACCTAGGGCCTTGAACATGCCAGGCAAGCTATCACTGAACTAGATATTCCTTTTTAAAATTTTCTTTGAGACAAGGTCTCACTAATTTGCACAAGTGGTGCTTGCTTTGGCAGCATATATGTGAAGCTGTGCAGGCTGAGCCCTAAGCTGTTGTCTTTGCCTCAGCCTCCAGATAATTAGATTACAGGCATGCTACTGTGCCTGGTTTAACCTCCCTTTCTGTTCTGAAATCCTGTGCTGTCTATACCACCCTTGTAACTTACACAATGTGACACAACTTGTGCTGCTGTAGGAGGATGTCTATTGATAACTGAAAGTTGGCCTATGCCTCGTGGTGCAGTGGTTAAGGGTGCTGCCATGGGGACAGTTTGCCTGGGATCAAATCCAGGCTTTCTGACCTAACTGAGGATAAGAAGAACAGCAACCAGAAGACTGGGGTGGGCGAAATAGGAGGAAGTGGAAGTTGAGATGCCCAAGGAAAATTTTCCATTAAGGAAAGTAGAAAATTGTCAGTAAGGTTGACTTGTTCTTGAAGAAGCAGTTTGTCTGCTTTATTTTTCAAACTTTAAAGTTTATTTTTGTTGAATTTTTACCCATAAGCCTCTGCTGACAGTTGCGATCAGAGCTCTATATAATAATTCTTAATCAAATCCTTTCTATTTTCAACCTGGAAAATCAGTTTAGGAGATTTGACTCTCTACTTCCCCCTGGTGGGAGCATGCCCAAAGTGCAAGGAGCCAACCCGAAGCCAAGATGGTGCCAATGAACTCAAGCTCCTGCCAAGGTGCTGGTGAGAGTCTGTAAGAATGTGGCCCCTTTTTGTTTTTCAGGTTCTTGAGTGTCACGTTAGTCTTCCCCTGTAAGAGTCAGAGGTTCCTGCGGGTTGGCCTGGCTGTGCCAATTCTGAGCACGGTGGCTGCCCTGAGGAAGCTGGCAGCGGAGGAAGGCGGAGTCCCTGCAGAGGAGGTGAGAGGGGATTGCACTGGGGCCTGGCCCCGGGGGCAGGATGCTGACCGGCCTGCAGCCTGTGCTGATCTGTGGGTACCAGGTGACACTACGGTTTCTGTCTGATTCCTAGTCCCTCGTGTTGACTTCTCCTTGCCCCTTGTGGGGTAACCATGAAGGACACCGGCCTTTCTAGAAGGTGGTTGTGATCGATAGTTTCAACAGCAGCTGACCTCAGTTATGCTTGTCAAGTGTTGGACACTGTGCGGTGATTTTTTCTTTTTCTTTTTTTAATGTACATCAGAGTCTCCCCACGCAGCTCGGACTCACAGTGATCCTTCTGTTTTCAGCCTCCCCAGCGCTGAAGTGCTTGGATTGCAGGCATGTGCCACTATGCTGGCTCAGCATGCCTGGGGGCAGGGCTAGTGTGGCATGTGGTGCCAGGGATTGAATCTGGTCCCTGCACTTGTCCAAGCAAGTGCTTACTCTGCTGAGCTATCTCGCCAGCCCTTGCAGTGACCTTTCTAATCATTTCCATAATCATTTCATGCCAGCCACTGGGTAAAGTAGACATTACAATTGTCCTCATTTTGCTGGTGAGAAAAAGACATCATAAAGAGTTAAGGCACTTGCCAAAGGTCACTCAGTGAGGACGCAGCGGTCAGGGTTTGAACATAGGTGGTTTGTTTTCAGAGCCAGAGCTATGACTTTGTAATTTCACTTGTGAGAATATAAACCAGGCTTCTGAAGGGGCAATAAATGAAATATAGGGGATGGGGAGATAACTTGGTGGTCTAAGCACATACTTGGCAAACTCAAAGACCCGGGTTCAATCCCTGGTACTGTATGATGTACCAGCCCCAGAACCCCGGGTGTGGTGGTGTATGCCTATAATCCTAGCACTGAGGAGGCTGAGACAGGAGGATCACTGAGTCTGAGCTGCGTAGTAAGACCCTGTACCAAATAGATAAATAAACAAATGATTATTTTTTTATTTTTTTTTAATTTTTTTTTTTAACATTTATTTAGTGTGTGTGTGTGTGTGTGTCCAGCTCAGCCCACCAGGGGGCGCAGCTGGCTGGCATGTGGTGCTGGGGGATCGAACCGCGGTCCCTGTGCTTTGCCAAGCTTGTTCCAAGTAGGTGCTTTAGACCACTGAGCCATCTCTCCAGCCCCGATTATTTTTTTAAATAAATGAAATACAGTTACTGAGAGAACTGAGGATGTCTGACATGGGGAAGGTGGGGGGCTATGCTCTTTCATGTTTGTTTTTTCAAGGCATTTTGGTGAAGGGTTGGGTTCACCATGCCTGGAGGGGCTCCCATGACATGATGGGCAGAGGCAATGGTGGGGACAAGCCAGATGGCAGAGTGGGGGCTCTGCGGAGGTTCTCACTGTGATGTAGTTACTCTGTAGCTCTCTGTCCTTGAGCAGGTAAGTGATTGGCGGCCCCTCTGTTTCTTTACCTTTTATGCTTCTCTGGCTACCTCATTGGTTAAAAAATTTTTTTTAACCTTTTTGGTTAAGGTGTAACCTGCTTACAACGCAGTGTGGTATCCTGAGGCTGTAGTTTGTTGAGTTTTACACCTGTCTATGGCCCTATAGTCGCCGTGATTACTGAGCCTAACACCCCAGCCCCCTCCTGAGCCCCGTCCCCCAATGCCTTTGACCTCTAGATAGGTTTCTCATGAGGATCTGAAAAAAGGGGAAAATATGTGCTTTCTAAATTCTCAAAGCACACCAAAGTGCACTAGGGGACCTATTTATGTGTATGAGAGAGAAAGAGAGACAGAGAGAAGCAAAGTGGTAGACATACATTTTTTGAGGGGGTAAATAGAAATTAAAAAAAAAAACAGAGGTCTATCCAAAAGAGGTAGAATTTGAATACACGTAGGACTATTAGGAATGTGTACAATGGGACATGTTTGTTTGGTGAGATAGAAATCTCTGGGGATGTTTATATGAATATTTTGACTAGAACTTAAATTTATCTTGATATTTTGTTTTAAAAATGGCAGTTTATTCCACTTGTATTATCTATGATTACAGATATGTTTGTATACATTCCCATCATCTTGTTTCATGTTTTTTATTTCTTAAACATTTCCTGATTTTTTTCCCCTCCCCTCCTTTATTGCTTTTTATGAATTGAGCAATTTTTCTTTATTCTGTATCTTTTGATTTGGGACATGCATATTATATTTTCTTGTTTTGTGTATTTATTTATTGGTTGATTGATTCCAGTATTAGGAATCAAACTCAGGACCTTGTGCTTGCCAGGCAGGCACTTATGCTGCTGAGCTATCTCCCTGGCACATTTATTTATTTATTTGTTCATATATTTAATGTTTTTGAGACAGGATCTCGCTATACAGCTCAGGCTGGTCTCAAACGCACAGTGATCCTCCTGCCTCAGCTGAGATTACAGTCATGTGCCACCACACTCAGCTTTTACTATTTACTACATGTCAGCATGTATAATTAAAATGTAATGTTAATATCAAACACAAAGATTTTGATATGCTTTTTAAAAATATTTTTTGACTTAGACATTGTAGATAGATATTATTATTGTTTTATCTTGCCTCTTACTCTTCCAACTTGTAAAAGTTTTAGTAATTCTTATGTTTTGCATAGTCAATGTATGTTTTCATTTACCAAATTTTACCATTTTAAGTCACCATTTTTACCTTACTCTTAGGCTTTAATTCTGATTATTGTTGCTTTGTCTTTAATCCTGAAATGTATCTTTTACAAGATAATTTCCTAGCTGATGTGGCTTAAAAGGGCCTTCTGTGAGTCATGTATTGAAATGTTGATTCCTTTGTCCTTGGTGAATCAGGGTTGAGACTTGGGTTAGCCAAGACTCCCCAAAATAGTCACCTCTTTCCTCCCTTCTTCTCTTATAAGCCAATCCCCATAAACCTGTATTCCATAAACATTTTCCATGTAAACATAATATGAAAAGGATTAGTAACACTATTTAGATGTTCACTTAGTGGAGCTGTATAAGTAGCAAACACTTTTTGTTTACCTGAAGAGAACTTTATTTATTTCTGATTCTTTCATATAGTTTAGCTGGGTATAAAACTTTAGATTATTTTACTTATTTATTTATTTATTTTTTGCTGACATGATGGCACATGCCTGTAATCCACATATTTGGGAGGCTGAGGCAGGAGGATCACTGTGAGTCCAAGGCCAGTCTAGGCTCCTTAGTAGGTTCAAGGCCAGAGACCTTGTCTTTTTTTAAAAAAAGTTCTCTTTTGGTTGCTGATGAGACATCCATAGATCAATCTGTTACGCCCTTTGTATTTTATTACTTAAAATGTGTAACCACTGAGAAGGGAGGGTGAAAAGGCTTCCAGTCATCCTGGTTTCTTATCTGTTAGGTTCTCTTTGAGAAATCAAGAGGGAAAATGATCTTTCTCATTGCAGGTAATCTTGGTTGAACTGTATCCCAATGGATTCCAGCGGTCTTTCTTTGATGAAGAGGACCTGAATACCATAGCAGAGGGAGATAACGTGTACGCCTTCCAAGTCCCTCCGCCTCCCAGCCAAGGGACGCTCTCAGGTACAAGAGTGTCTTGCATAATTTTATTGGGATGTTGTGGGTTGTAGGCTCCAGATGGTTTTCATAGGTTGCTAAGGCCTAAAACATTTACTTCTAGCATGTGGAACTGTTGGGCTTATTTTCTCTGCAGTTTGGTGTTGATTGATGGTTGATTACTAAAGATTATTTAGCCAATACTAAGGTTCTTGAAACTTTAGTGAATATCAGAATTACCCAGAAAGTTTGTTAAATCAGATTGCTGGACCGCATCCCGAGTTCTGGATTTGTAGGCCATGGGTGGGGCCTGAATTTGCATATTTAACAACTTCGCAGGTGATGCCAGCCCAGGGATATTTTGGGAGTCACTATTTAGTGTGAGCACGTACACTAATAAAGATTGTTTATGTTCAAAACTCTTTATGTTCAAAACTCTTGTGATTTAAGGGCTGTATTTCAAATAAAATTTCTGAAAATTTTAATTGTCAAAGACATTAAAAGATAGCATTGTTATTAATGGTTATACTGCATAATGCTTTTTTTCTTAAACCTCACACTAGCTAACATGGTGAATTTTTCTTTCTTTTCTTTCCTTCAGACAGGCTCTTACTGTATAATAGAGCCGCCCTTGAACTCCCTATGCAGCCTAGGCTGGCCTTAAGCTTGGGGCAATCCTCCTGCCTCAGCCCCCCAAGTAGGGGAATTACAGCCGTGTACCACTTCCTGGCAACATGGTCAATTTCAAATAGCCTTTCATTGTCAGCAATACATATTTTGGCCCATTCAGTCTGCCTAGAAGTCCAATATTAAAGCACCCTGTGCCAGTGTTACAGCATACAGCAATCCCCTAATCTGTGACTTCCCTTTCCACAATTTTAGTTACCCATGGTCTGAAAATATTAAATGGGAAATTCCAGAAACAACAATTCATTTTTGTGTTTAGTTTTGTTTTTTCCATGCTGGGGATCAAACAAAGGACTTCACGTATGCTTGGCAGCCACTCAGGTATGCTGAGCTACATCCCATCCCCATAACTTTTAAGTAACTTTATTATACAGTATATTGTGATTATTTTGTTATTATTGTTAATATCTTACCATACCTAATTTGTCAATTATACCCTAACATAAGAACAGATATATAGGGAAAAATAGTATATATAGAAATTTTTTTTCATGTATTTAGTATATGGTCTATAGGGTCTTACTACATAGATCAGACTGGTAGTGATCCTCCTGTTTTCAGCCTCTCAAGTGCTGGAATTACAGGCATACACCACCACGCCCAGTCTCAGTCACTGTCTCAACGCACCCTGAGGGTAGGGTCAGTACGGCGCTCTGGGGATCGAACCCGAGTCTCTGCGACTGCCCAGGCAGACGCTTTAATCTGCTGAGCTATCTGGCTGGCCCCTGAAATTTTTTTTTGAGATGTTGGGACTTTGGTTCTTTTCTGAGGTTTTGGACACCCCTGTAATATCTTGGAGTATGTTCTTTTTCTCCGACAAAGGGTAGTCCCATCCCTGGCCCCGTGTCATGAGCCAACAGCAGTCCATGGGCCCTGGCTGTTGACTGGAGACAACATGAAACTCTGGGCACTGGAATCTGGAGCACAATGTTGCCTGACCCCGTTTTACAACTCACTCAAGCAAGTCTTCATTTCTAATTTAATCAAAAGTGACATGTACATTCCTTAAAGTCACAATTCAGACCAGAAATGGAAAGTAGTGAAGTCTTCTTTCTCCATGGGAGACTTTTGTCTTCTCAATATACCTTCTTATTATTGTCTTCCTAAGACTGTGGACACTCTTGGGGCGTCTGATCAAGGCGTAAAACCCAAATTAGTTAGCTGAGCATGGTGATGTCTGTCTATAATCCCAGCACTGAGGCAGGAGGATCATTGCAGGTTCGAGACCAGCCTGGGCTACAAATGAGGTCAAGGCCAGACTGAACTGCATAGTAAGACTGTGACTCAGAAAGACAAAAAAACAAAACAAAACAAAAAACAAGACAAAGCAAAATATCCAAAAGCCACCAGGTGTCCTCTCTCGGGTGGTGAGTAGGTGCTCAGAGAGAAAGAAGGTGGAAGCGCCAAGGCTGTGGCCCACTGCAGGGCCCTTTAATGCCATTCTCTCCCCCAGCTCGACCAGCGGGTCTGCCGATAGTGTCCCCACGCCTGGGGGCCCAGGAGGGCCAGCGGTTTTCTCTGCCTCTCCAGGGTGAGAACAAGGTGCCCATCCTCTTCTGCAACCTGGTGGGCTCAGGCCAGCATGCGAGCAGGTATGTTTCACATCATCCTTTTTTCATGTGGTGTCTGGGGTTTGCAGACCTCTATTTGGGGCTTTGTCTAGAATAATTATAACTTGATAAAATTAAATATCTATCCCCAAGATTAATAAAGTAGAAGAAGGGAATAGGGTACTTCTGGAGCAAGAGGACCAGAAATAATGGCTTTAAGCAGATGGCCAACAGCATCCTTAATTAAACATCAGTGCTGCCTGTTGACTGAAGGCATGGTTACCTGGCCTCACAGGTGTTATTTGATACAATATCCAGTTGTCAAGAGCTGGCCAGGAAGCAAGGCTCAAAAGGAAACTGAGTATAAGAGAACGGGAGCCACTTAGTGACTTGGTGAGCCCCTGTCTCACAAGAAAAAGGAAAGAAAAGAAAGGAGAAAGGAAGGCTGAGCACAGTGCGGGGTGTGTCTGCGGTCCCAGCTACTCAAGAGTTTGGGGAAGGAGGCTCAGGGTTCAAGGCCAGCCTGGGCAGTAAGATGACACAACACAACAGAGCTAAACAAAGCAACCAAACCAAACCTCTAAGGGCTAGAATGTGATCACAACTAACAAGAGGGAAAGGGGCGTTTGTATTACAGACTTGCAAAAACAGACAGCTTTTCTGTATAGTCCAAAAAAGTGACAAGAAGGAAATGATGAGTATTGGAGGTGATAGATATTTTAATTACTCTGCCTTGATTATTGCATGATGTATGGGAGCATTGCATTGTGTCCTGTAAATATGTATTGTTGGCTGGGTGTGTGGTGCATACCTACAATCCCAGTGCTCAGAAGGCTGAGGCAGGAGGATTGCCGTGTGTTCAAGGCCAGCCTGGGCTACATAGTGAGACCTTGTCTCAAAACAAAACAAAACAAAACAAAACAAAACAAAACAAAACAAAACAAAACAACAACAAAGTTTATGGAACAGTAAATTGCTAAGAATAATCAGAAAGGGGGCCAAGGAATGGCTCAGTGGAATAAGCGCTTTCCTGGCAAGGGCAAGGGCCTGAGTTCAATCCCTGGTTCCGCCAAAAAAACAAAAACAAACAAACAAACAACAAAAAAAAAAGTCAGAAAATGTTGGGGAGAAAGAAAGGAAAAGAAAGAATTAGTCTATTGAAATAGAATAATTTTAATTATTAAAACATTGTGACATGGGAAAAAGAATATATTATTAAATTAACCAACTAGAATAAGCCAAGTAATTATTTTATTTTAAATAATTACTTTTACTTTTAAATATTTTTGTGGTGCTGGAGAACCCAGGGCCTTTGCACTGAGCTATATCCACAGTCCTTTTTAATTTTTTATTTTGAGGTAGGGTCTTGCTAAATTGTATAGGCTGGGGTCAAACTTGGAATCTACCTGCCTCAGCATCCCAGAGTACTGGGATTACAATTATGTGCCACCCCATATTCAGACAAAAAATTGCTTTTATATTCTTGCCATAAGTTCATATGTGTAAGGCCCAGGTTGATTAGAAATACATCTTTAGAAAAGGAAGACTTAAGATGTCTTTTAAAAGGCTGGGGGTGGGCTGGAGAGATAGTCCAGTAGCCTAAGCCCCTACTTTGGCAAGTGCAGGGACCAGGGTTCAATTCCTGGTGCCACATGCCACGCCAGCCCCACCCCTGGGGAACACTGAGCCAGCCACTGAATCCAGGCGTAGGGTGCACACTTGTAATCCCAGCACTGGGGAGGCTGAAACAGGAGGATCACTATGATTCTGAGCTGTGTAGTGAGACCCTGTACCAAATACATAATTTTTTTTAAAAGCCTGGGGATGGTGGTGAATGTTCCAGAACTCAGAGGCTGAGGCAGGAGGATCATCAGGAGTTTGAGTCCAACCTAAACTACAGAGTGTGATCCCCTCTCTAAAATTTGCAAAACAAAACAAAATAAAATACATTTTAAAGAAAATATAGGGGCATATTTGTTTCTCTGGGTGGAGGGGGCCATTTTAACATTTTCATGACAGGGCCATGATTTGTGTGTCTCCTTGATGGGTGGCTTGAACCTTGGTAGTCATGCATGACTGTCCCACAGTGGTAAAAGCCCCGCCAAAGGGACAGTCATGCATGCAATGGTTCAAACTGGTGGGAATGTATTAGCACCCAAAATAGGAGGCTATGAAGGAGAAGGCTGATGTTTTAAACATATTTAACATTAAAATTGAGAACAAGTTTAAAGGCAAAGAACGAATGAGGAAGAATATTTGTCATGCGCGAGGGGAAGACTCATATTCCTCATGTGAAGTCTGTTGCTCTCTCAATGAGGTAAATGCTCTGCCAAGAAAATACCATAGAAGCTGGGCATCAGGCCACACCCCTGTGACCCCAGCACTTGGGGGGCCGAGGCAGGAAGATTGCCATGAGTCTGAGGCCAGTCTGGACTACATGGTGAGTTCAGGTCTAGTCTGAACTAGGCTTTGACCCTGTTTTTAAAAAAAAAAAAACACCAAAAAACAATAGGAAAAAACAAAACTTACCACAAAGATGAACCAGAGTTCACAAAAGAAGTACATTCCCAGGTTAAAAATACTCAACATTGTTAGATCGTTAGTGGTGGAGGACATTCTGATTGCAGTAGCAAGATAATATTCTTTTTCTTTCTTTGTTTTGTTTTTTGAGATGGAAGTATAGTTCAGTCTGACCTTGAACTCACTATGTGATCCAGGCTGGCCTTAAATTTGTAGCCTCAGTTTCCCCAGTACTGGGATTTCAGGTGTGTACCACCCTTGGCTATTTGGCTCAACAGCAAGATACTGTTCTCTTGTTTGTTTTGAGACTGGGGTCTCACTATGTAGTTAGGTAGGCTTTGAATTCACCTTGTAGCCCAGATTGGCCTTGAACTCACAGTGATCCTCTTGCTTCAGCCTCCCTAGAGCTGGGATTACAGGCATGTGCTACCACATCCAGCTCGCAAGATGCTAGTCTTCACCTTTCATATAGTTACCTGGAACCTTTAGATATCAATCACACTTTTCTGGGCAAGACTAAGACAAATCATATTTTTCTCCACTGTACTGAAAATTAAACCAAGGCCTTCATACTGAGCTATATCCCCAGTCAATTCTCTCTTTCTCTCTCTTTTTTTTTTTTATTTTGAGACAGGGTCTTACTAAGTTCCTAAATTGACTGGGCTGTGCTTGTACTTGAGAAAGGTTTTTTTTTGTTTTTTTTGTTTTTTTTTTTTTGTTAGCTCTGGCTGCCTTAAGGGCGGCTCTGGTGTGGTTCGAACCAGGGTCCCCTGCACCTGACTGAGTTTGCCCAAGCAGGCGCTTTAAAGAACTGAGCTAACCTGCAAGCCCCCTGGGCTTGTACTTGAGAACTTCCTGCCTTGGCCTTCTAGAATTCTGGGGTTACAGGAAGGTATCATCACTGTTTACCCAGTGAACTGGCCACTTACCCTTGCTAAATTGGTATGGTCTTTCTGGAGAACAGTTTGGGAATGAAGAACTTTGGTCCCTCTTTCCACTTCTGGAACTTTATCCTGTAAGAACAATTTTTTTTATGTGCAGTCAGAGTTGCAATTACAAGAAAATATGTATGTCCCGAACGAGGCATGCATTGTTTACATAAAAATGAGAAGCAAACTGAATGCTCAGTGATACAGGATTAGTTAAATGAACAGACGTGTTCACTCAGTGGATGTGCGGTGCCCTTCCCGGCCCAGACCTGTCACTTCCTATTTGTGCTGCATTTTTAGCAGTGTTTCCAGAACGTATTCACGTTCTTACGCCGTTGGTCTTCACACGACCCTGGAACAGTGAGTGGTCAGAGAGCGGGCAGTGATTTGTCCAGGAGCACTCATGGCATGGCCGGGATGACAGACACAGCCCCATGTTCTTGGTGCTGCAAGCCCATTAAAGTGTGTTTATTAGGGTAGCACGTGGAAATCATTCCCAGTACTGAGAATATCTGTGATGCACAAACCTACAACTGTGTCGCTTGGTTTATCCCTGCCTTGCTTTCTTGTGGTTCTCTTCGGCTCTTTCGCTGTTCTGCCCACTGTGCGGGGCATTTTCTGGCCAGCCCATCACTGGGAGCAGCTGTTTGACTGCCGTGTGTCACTGGCTTTGCCTCTCCAGCCCTCGGTTTGCCTGCCAGTGTCTCCCTATATAATGTAGGGCTCTGAACGTAATTGCGTTTTGTGCTTGGCTCCAGTCTCTTCATTTACCCAACTTGGAGGAAGCCAGAAGTGAAGCAGTACTCAAGAACTGTTGGGTACTGTTGATTTTCCCTCTCTGAAATAACCTGATTTCCTTGGATTTCCAGATTTGGGCCACCTTTCCTGATAAGGGAAGACAGAACCATTTCTTGGGCCCAGCTGCAGCAGTGTATCCTCAGTAAGGTCCGCTATCTCATGAGGAGTGAGGCCCCTGCACAGGTAGGGCGTGTGCGTGTGTGTGCGTGCGCATGCATGCCTGTGTGCATGTGTGCGTGTGTTGAGAAGAAAGTAGAATCTAGAGGTATCTGAGGAGAGAGAAGACTTTCCTGTGAATGAGAGGGCTCAGGTTGTTCTATCATACAACTTTGATTTATGTGCAAGAAAGTAAACCACTTTATACCCTTATTTTTATTTTATTTATTTATTTATTTATTTATTTATTTATTTTTGTGCTATTACAAAACACATTTCCCAGCCAGGGCTCTTTCTTGTTAAATCTTTACACACACCTCTGGAATAGTGAGCAGTACTTATATTATTATTCTCATTTTTACATATTTATGATTTTCCACAATTCTCCCTAGAGGATGGCATATTATAGTAAACTGTAATTTACACATTTAGATCCAAAATTTCAAAGGACTTGAGATGTCATTTCCATGGCAAATTAAACTACACGATTATATGTGTGTGAAAATCTGGACATTAAATTAATTTGTCCAGTTTTTCAGAAACTTGAGATTTAAAGCTTAAAGTCAAACACCTTTTGCCATGTTTATTTATTCTCAGATTGATAGTTTTCCAATTTTAAAAACCACATTTAAAATTCATATTTTTTTCTTGTTGTCTTTTTTGTGTGTATATGTGTGTCATTTTGTTGTTGTTGCTGTTTGTCATTTTGAGACAATATTTCACTATGTAATTCAGGCTGGCCTTGAGCTCACTCCCTTTCTAGTCCAGGCTGACCTCACAGCAGTCCTCCTGCCTCAGCCTCCTGAGTGCTGGGATTACAGGCATGCACCACCATGCCCAGTTTTGAGTACCTACAAAGCCATTAATGTTTAGCGTCTATAATATCAGGAGCCTCTTTGGTGGCAGCCTGGCAGGAAAGATGGTGACATTTTTAGGTCCAGGTCAGTTGCCTCAGAGCCTTGTTTCTCCCCAACTATTCTCTTAGAACAAGCCTTTCCCTTTGGTGATACAACAAACTTACTCCAGAGCTAATTCCTCATGATTCAGTTTTCTTTCTGTTCTGGGGTGGAGTCGGGGGTGGGGAACAGGCCCATACAGTTGATTTAGGGTTTACACCAAATACCACTCTGTTAAAGACATCTGCCACATTCGTGGCAGCCTTTATCTCTAGAGTTTTATGTGGTGAACTACAGTGTAGATCTGCCATAGTGCTCAATTTAGAAACTAACTTCTCTACAAGTAGGTCAGAATATCTAGTAATAGCTTTAGCCAGCCCCCGGCCCTGTGTGCAGCTGATTGTTGAAAGTGGACAAAACCACTTTGATGTGAGCACTTATCTCAGCTGTCCCTCTTTACCTTGTCACATGCACATAACTTTGGCTTCTGTGTCTCCATAGCCATTTCAATACCAAGGACTGACCAAGGTATCAGGAAGGCCAGCAACACTCAAAGTGGGACGGTGCTACGTGGCCCTGCACACTGTCCCATTCACTAGTGAGTGTGCAAGGGCTTGGATTTCTGTAGAAACAGTATGTTCCCAAAAGCTGTGGGGTTCCGAGGCTAGCCCGCCCACTTAGCCCACAGTCCTTCCGCTAGTATATTAGACATTGACTCGCCACAGTAATAACTGGAAAACAAGAAATTCAGAACTCTCCACCTTGCAGTGGAAAGATGAAGCATAGCGAATGTGCGTTGACACCTCTAAGATGAGCTGGCTTAGCCAAGAGCAGGGACAGGAGAATGTTTCTTGTGAAAACTTTGCAGTTTGTTGGAGAGAACTACTTCACATGGGTTATGAAGTAAATGTTGATCATTATGGAATCGTGGCTGTGGTCACCCTGCAAAGTTCGGTGGGGCCAGCAAGGTTGGTTTGTCTGCGTGTGAACAGCTAGCGGCTTCTTCTGGGTACTGCGTCCTGTGGATGGGTGCAGGCAGGTCTCAGTTAGGAGTCACCGAGGGAGAAGTCCCCCCGTCAGAGTTACTGTTCTTTGCAGAAAGCACACTCTTCTGTGCCGACTCTGACTTAAAGCCTGGACGTCAGCTGGTTGTTTTTTATTTCTTTGTTGCTAAGCTGTAGATCAGCTAGATAGTGGGTATAGCCCAGGTAGCGGTACACATTCCCTGAACTTCATTCTGAAGACCCTTGTACTAGTTAGCTTCCTGTCACTGCAGTGACATACCAAAGGAAGCTAATTAGTAAATATCTAAAGGTTTATTTAGACCACAGCTCTGGATGTTCAGCAACCTGGTGCCTTTGCAGACTTGGCTCTGGTGTGGGTGACAGATGATGGCACGTCACAGTGGGGTATAGAAGAGCAGAGCTGTTGGGTCTCCAGGGGGAGACAGATGGACGGTCAGCCAGACAGATGTGTCCATGATGACCAAAGGACCTCTCACAAGGCCGCCTGTTCCAAATGTTCCCTCACCATCTGAGGCTGTAGTGCCACCCTGTGGACAGGACTTCAATTCCAATACACCCTTGGGGACAGTTAAACAATGAAATATCCAAGCTACAGCCAAACAGTCCTCTGCAACCAGGCTGTGGTTCGTCTGCTGAGCCCGGGCCCTGCTGTTCCTTGTGCAGTCGGCTGCGTAGCAGAGGAGTCTGCACAGCTTCCTCAATCAGATCTTTCTGTCCTCCCAAGTACTGGCTCTTCTTTCCTAAATCAGGGTGCTTTCCTTTTCTTCTTCCATCATAATTCAACATATATATCTTTGTGTGTGTGTGTGTGTGTGTGTGTGTGTGTGTGTGTGCAGGTGTGTATGTGTGTGTGTGTAACAGAGAGAGAGAGAGAGAGAGAGAGAGAGAGAGAGAGAGAGAGATTGAGATTGAAATCGAGACATGGTCTACTATGTAATTCAAACTTCCCTGTGTAGCCCAGACTGGCCTTGATCCTCTTGCCTCAGCCTTCCAAGAGCTGAGATTACAGGTCTGTGCCACCACACCTGGCCTCTTCCCCACCACTACCCCCATTATTTAGATTTTAGAAAAACTCTAGGCTGGACTCAAACTTGTAATTTTCCTGCCTCAGCCTCCTGAGTAACGGAGATTATGGGGATGTGCCACCATGCCCTGCTCATTTGCATTTTTAAGCATAAGTGTCTGCCTTTTTACCCTTGAATTGAAAGAATTTTTTTTTTTGGTTGTATTCAAGGTCACGATTGATAATCTATGAGCACTATATTTCTTTTATTTGAATGATGACTTCAGTGATTTTTTTTAAAGAACTGGTAAAATATATATTTACCTTAACCATTTATAAGTGTGCATTAATTCCATCCACACTGTTGTGAGACCATCACCGATACCTGTATTCCCAATTTTTCATCATTTCCAACCAGAGCTATGTCTGCCCCAAATAACTCTTCATTCCTCTTTCCTTCATCGCTCCGGCCCCTTGTAATCATCGTTTTTACTTTCTAATTCTGAACTTGCCTATTCTGTGTACCCCATATATACTAAGAATAATGCAGTCCTTCATACCTGATGTTTTTTCATTAAACATCCTGTTTTCAAGGTCTTCTGCATTGTAGCACATGCCACAATCATGTTTCTTTCCTTTTTTTTTTTTTTAGAATGAATTAATTTAATTTTTATTTTAATCCTTCATTTATTTATCTATTTGGTACAGGGTCTCACTACGCAGCTCAGACTCATAGTGATCCTCCTGTCTCAACCTCCCCAGTGCCTGGATTATAGGCGTGTGCCACCACACCTGATTTTGGTGGCCAGGTTGGTGCAGGGCTGGCAAGGATGCAGTATCAGGGATCGAACCCTGATCCTTGTGCTTGCCAGGTAGGAGCTTAGACCACTGAGCTATATTCCCAGCCCAGAACAAATTAATTTTAAAAGGCTGACAAAGCCAAATATTAGTGAAGACATTGAACAACTAGATTTCTTTCTTTTTCCTATTTCTTTCTTTTTAAAATTTCTTATACATCAGTGGAAATGTTAAATGGTAGAACCTTTTTTGGAAAGTGTCTTATAGTTCTTTTTTTAATTATTTTTCCCCCATAATTTTATTGATAAACAAATAGCAATGAGACAGTTTCAAATCAAATTGGTAGGACAGTTTCAATAATTAATACATTGCATACATTCTTCCTAGTGG